ATGTGTGTTTATGTAAAAAGTAAGGGTTAAAAAGAAGGGAATAAAAGGAAGGTGAATAAGATAAATTGAAACTTGCACCCCCACTAATACTACAGGAACCGATTGATTGTTCTGGACCGGGCGAACCAGTTTGTATCGATTGGCATAAATTTTTTGCATGTTCGATTGTTTTTTTCAGCAAATTTGTCTGTTTGTTAACGAATTTGCGATTCTTCTGCGAGGGCACCTTATTGCCAGCTTCACTAATCAGCATGCTTGATCTGCTACTCCATCACGTACCCTCCTCAACGCTTAGCTAATTTTTCAGCATCGATTTGACCGAAACTTTTCATTTCAGATGATTTTGAGGTTAAAAAGTTCTTAATTGTTTGCAATTCTCTCATTTTTATGCGTTTTATGTTGCGGCAGTTGCACAAAACGCATATTGTCTAGTCCCGATGTGTGTGTGGTGTGAATGTTTGTATGTGCGCGTGTATGTATGTATGTATGTATGTATGTATGTATGTATGTATGTGCGTATGTATGTATGTATGTACGTATGTGTGTATGTACGTATGTATGTGTGTGTGTTCCGAATGCATTTTATTTTTTCTTGATGCTGAAACGAGTTGGTATATGTTTCGTTTAACATTGTAATTTTTTCCTGTTTCCTCATTTCCAGCACATTTGAATTCTCGGCTTTGGCACTAGAAGCGAACTCACAAAATGACGGAATCGCGCCAAACACAGTATAAAAATATGGGCAAAGACAGCGAAGCATTGCGGAAGAATCGAGTGGAAAATATCGTTTCAATTCGCAAGGACAAACGTGACGAAACACTGTCGAAACGTCGCAACATACCAACCGAGTAAGTCCACTTCGCCAGTCCACCTCCGTCTCAAGATTTTTGCTTCTGTTGCGGGAATGCCCCTACATGCAATCCGAAGCAACTTTTTGTAAAATTTAATAGTCACTGCGTGTTTTTGGCACCACCAAATTTGTCCTTTTGGGTTATGAAACAATCCTCGGCTTTTT